AGCCTCCAATTGGCGCGAAAATTTTCTGTTCGGAGAGGCGAACAGTTAGATCCGAGAGCGAAGCTCTTGAAAAACTGTGAGCTTCGAGGACAAATATCCGAGCATATTTTTTAAGTCAAATGGGGGCTATCGTGTTTATTATCCTTGAAATATTTTTCGCAACACGCGGAATTTTCATAATTGGGGAATATCACTCGGATATTCCCCAGTTTTAGCTGAAAAATATTCAGTCACGTGACGCGTTTACACCAATCGCGTTCGAGCGATAATATTTGACGGATTATTAAGTTTGAATATTGAACAGCATATCTCCTATCGAACGCCTTGAAGTGTATAGGCATTCGTACTAAATGTACTAAGATCAACAAGGAGAGTTACAAATGTTGACTACTAACCGATAGAAGGCTTGAGGATTGGCTGGTAAACTTGCCATACTCTGTCCAGGTCTTGACCACAGTCCACGTACATGGCGCCAGCGACTGCCTCAAACAGGTCGCCTAATGCCTTGGGAACCTCTACCTGCACGGAGTCCTCGTCGCCTTCACTTCCCATGACAAAAACACTGGAGTAAATCTAGGCAAAGGAAGGAAAATTAAGTGTTCGAGTAAAAAAAAGAAATGCACACATTTTCAGTGTGTCTATGGCGTTTTCTATGTGGTTGTGCACAGGATGAAAGATGACGAGCAGCAGTTAAGAAAACAGCAGACAATTTCAGTTTGTCTGTAGCATTCTCTTTGTGGTTGTGCATAGGAAAGAAGATAGCGCGTTGCATTTCAAGGCAGCAAACATTTTCAGTGTATGTGGCGTTTTCTATGTGATTGTGCACAGGAAGGAAGATTTCTTGCTGCGTTTGAAAAACGGCAAACATTTCCCGTGTGTCTGTGGAGCTTTTTTATGTGGTTGTGCATAGTTAGGAAGATAGCGTGTTGCAGCTGGAAATGTTATGTGGTTGTGGTTGTCCATGAGGTTGTGGGTGTGATCGTGGTTGTAGCAGATGCAAACACACCCCTCCCCCCAAGTATTGCTCCCACAATCATTTCCCTTAGCTCCCATTGTTCCCACCCGCTTGCCCCAACCCCCGAGCAATTCTAACAACATCCCTTTACCTCGTCAGTCTTCCCTTGTTGTTGTTTCATCTCTTTTTCCTTCAGGTTCACGGTAAACTTGTTCACCATGCTGAAAAGCTGCGGTGACAGTGATCGCAAGTGTTTCGAGAAACCCATCTGGACCGCCAGCGCAGCAAAACTGTAGTTGTTTACCACAGCAGATCGTACATCGGTCAGCTCACCTGGGGGCATGTGACTGTGATTTCTGTACAAATATCGCGTTACAAGGAAGTCCAAGAGGGCATCTCCCAAGAACTCCAGTTGTTCGTAGCTGCAGCGTACAGAGTTGTAGTCTCGTGGCACGGAGGTATGTGTGAACGCTTGCAGTAACAAAGACTTGTCACGAAAGCAATAGTTTAGTGCCTCCTCGAGTGTCTGGAACTCAGCAGCTGTAGACCTCTGGTTTGAGAAGAGCCAACCGGTGGAAAGAAAGGGGCTGACTGTCTCGTCTGAGGAGGAATCGTTTTCACAGCAAGTTTGACAAGCTTGGAAAGGTACTTTTGAGATGTCCTGGTTGCTTGCACTGCAATCTGATTCCAAGTCAACTGCACCGAGAGCAGAATCCTGAGCAAAGAATTCATTCACAAGGCATGTATCTTGGGTTTCGTCTTGTTTCGTTAGTTCCATGCCCAGCCATTCCACAAACTTGCAGGCTCCTTCTGGGCCTAAACAGAGCAGGTATGCCCCAACTAGGGCTTCAGTGGCATCAGCAATGGTCCTATCTGAGCAACAAAGATGCAAATGGTGGCTCAGCTGGATATCAGATGATTGGCCTTCACTAGAGAGGCCTTCACTAGAGAGGCCTTGACTATCAGGACCTTCTCTAAGCTCAGGAAGTTCTATCCCTTCAAAAGTACTTCCATCTTCATCTTCGTCGTCAAAGTCTTGAGCGCCCTTATCTGATATTAAGAGAAAATGTCCTTCACCCGATCCGTCAGTGTCTGTGCCATCTTTCTGGTAGAATCCAGGAGGCAGCCAGTTGACCAGAGGGGTGAACATCCGGGTGATCACATATGAAGGCAAACCCCGCTGCCGCGCCAGATAAAACAACTGACGGTTACTCACCCTGATTCCTCGTGTGAAAGACAGCTTGCTCTCATTCTCGTACCTGTACTTGAAGAAGACTGAAGCAGTGATGGCATACTTCAGAAATGAATCTCCAAGAATCTCGAGTCGCTCAAGGGAAAACACGTCTCCAGCCATACCGGCTGTGAGAGCACGAAGAATCAAGGTGGATGATGGGCCACACTTCTGGTACAAGCCGGAAATATGAGGATCAGTCAAAATCGTGACAGGTGACGCCTCGCTTTCCATCTTGATAGCCGTTTTACTGTTATCAATAGGCAATACCCCTCCGTTGTCCAAAGGAACGGATGCTTTTCCGTCAAAAAGCCCAATATGAAAGGAATCCTCCTTAGCTCCACTCAAACTATGAGAGACTTCACTAGATGCCGCAAGACAAGGTGTTTTGTTCTCAGTACCAGGATGCTTACCAACAGTCATGTCGCTAAAGTTTTTTGACAAAGAGTAAGTGGTGCTATGAGCGTTAGAATGATCTGGCAAGGGAAGGCTACCGGCAATAGCCACCTCATTGTTTGTTTCCTGTCTGGAAATCTGTAGACCCATTAATGCTCCAGAGAGATCTGTGCAGTATAGACTGGCGGATTTCTCAGTATCCTTCCTGGAAGAAGGCTTGTTACTTGATTCCTCTGGGGCAGACTCTGTTTGACGCACAATCTCCTCGCCCACCATCTCGCCCATTGTCAACAATGGCAGCGGAACATCACTAGGCCAGTCAACAGCTCCCATGCCAAGAACGCTTGCAATGTGAGACCTAAACTCCTCGGCAACCAGTAGTGACTCCATTCGATAGAGCACAGCTGGCAGATTAAACAACTGCCTCCATAGATATGCTGGCACTGGATGAATGGAGCATACCTCAGGAACCACATACACCTTCGATTTCCGGGACCGCTTGGAATCCTTTTCAGGTACAGATAGATGCTGGCCTTTGATGTTCTGATAGCGGGGCGTCAGGAAATTAAGTCGAGAGGATGTGTGATCGACATCCAGCATGGGTTGGTCCAAAGACACTTTGACGTCGTATCGAATCTCATAGTACTCGGCAAATGTACCGGCTGCTTCAGAGTTTGGGAAGGGGTCTGCCGGACTAAGATCGTAGCGTATGTCAGCCACGTAATAATGAATTCGGTCCTCGTTGTAAACGGCTGTTACAACTGCATCCCTGAAAATCTCCGGGTTTGTCATATCAGGAGGGGGTGGGTCAATGGGATTGTCGAAGCTACCAAGCGCATGCTCAATGGAGTGCAAGAAATCAAAGGCAATTTCTTTGTGATGGTGGGTTCCATTTGATGAAGAAGTGCAGCTATCTGGAGCATCCTTCAGAAGCATAATGTAGAACCCAGAAGAAGCAATGGAAGGGTCAAACGTTAGAAATTCTAACGATTGTTTCCTTGGTTTTGCGATCTCCCTGAAGGCAAACGCAGTGAATCTCTCCAGAAGTGCTATCTGATCAGACGTCAAGATAACAGGATGTGGACTGCACTCAGCAACTGTCGCAGTGACTTCACCAGCTCTATCAAATATCAACACGCCAGGAAGCTGCAACAAAAAAGACGTACATGTACATGAAAATGTGTGCTGCAGAACCCTCAAGCCTACTTCAGTAGACAGTCAAAAGCATGATCAAAAGACTAACAACCTGTCTTAAAACACAGTCACCAAAATACTCAACTTTGGAATGTCGTGTGATTTACACTGATCACGCCAAACTACCCTACATATATCGAGTGATGTGTGATTACTAGTGGGCACAAAGAGAGCAATGATACCAATACTTAAGAAATAAAAAAGTTAAGGTGGCATGAGTGAGTGTCGGTAAAAAAAGAACGAAAATGCTGTGTTTCTGTGTAGCTGTTCATAGTTTTTCAGACCTTTCACAAGTATTTCCTCAACTCTAAGTCACATAGCAGAGAAACAAAGTTTCTTCGTGTATTTTTTTTCCATTCATGATCAAACGTCTCCTTATAGACACCTTCAAAATATAGACGCCTCTAAGTCTTAGACTGTTCGATATGTCCAAAATAGACTAGATATCTACCAAGAACCACGCCCTAACACGGGCGTCAGCTCTAACCCTCTGGTTTCTGTATAAGAGAGGTTTGAGCGTACAAGTACGAATAAACATTGCGTTTCCACAAGCCGACCAAAAAACATAGTGTTTATGTAATACATGTACAGGTAAACGGCACAGTTTGTCAGCAGCCGGCCCCAAGCTGCATCCCTGTTGCACTACCAAGTGTACTGTGTTGCTATGCCTACGCATTAATTTCTATCTTCAAATAAATGCCATGATTATCTTCTTCTGACCTTAGGTAGTGGCTTTCTGGAGACAATCCCAAGGTAATGAGTAGCTGATGTAGACTGTATTTTACTCTGTGACCTGACAGCACGTTCAAACGTCCATGCTTTGGTTAGCTCCATTGTGATAGAATACACATAGCTTGGTTTCCCACAAACTGGAAAATTGTTCTCCAATATAGAGGGAAACTACAGATGAAAGAAATAGTTGCAATACTTTAAGAGACACGTTTCTTAATCTATATCTGGTCTAGGTGATATGCCAGTACTACTTACAGCTTCATGCTACCAAAATTGGAGCTAGGTACTGGATTGGCTTAACATTCTTCTCAGGTTGTTTTGTATGATTTCCCATTGGGATAACCAGACCTTTATTGATACCACTCCTTGTGAATATCACACCACTCAAGCCTGTTTTTCCTCACCATTGTGTAACATATAGCGTGTAACATTTTCTTATATTCCCCTTGCTTGTAACCCATATTCAGAGTGTCTCAGATTCTTGTGAATAAACTTGATTGCTGGCGGCTTCCTCCACTATTTCTTGTATTATTTGTCTCCTTTACTTAAAATAGAAATGTTCTCCATTCAGCTGAGAGAAGCGAAAGAGAATAGAAGGCACATCTGTACTAGTGCAAATAAATGACTGAATTCCTCATATGTACTGGTCATAATTTTGCCATCGTTTGCCTCCATCTTTTTGCCATCTGTCTTGTTTAGTCAGTAGCCAATACATGGTCAGGCAGTTTAAAATACAGCTGATCTCATCACAATTTGTGAGTGCAATACAGACACAAATATTTCATACTTCTAGCTATTTTCATTGTGTTTTGGAGGTTCGTATACCTTTCTCTTGTATGCTCTGTTTCTCTTGACCGACCCATCCATTCCAACACCACCATCAGCAACCTCACAATCACATGCCTCACCTTCTGCTGTCAGACGGTTAGCAATGAATCTACAACAAATAACAAATGGGGTGCTGGGCTGAACAAGTTGAGTTCGACTAGCAGAGCAGCATAAGACTAGTGGGTAGACACATTGAACTACTGAGCAGAGTGACAGCTCATTGCCTTTATAAGTAAGTAAGTGAGTAAGTAAGTAAGTAAGTAAGACTTTATTTTACGAGGGTAACATTTGACAGTAATAAAACTGATAACCTAATGGCCCTCAAAAATTAAAATTTAAAAAAAAGAAAGAAATAGTACAATCGTAACAATATTAAAAATAATTAAAATAAAATAATTAACCCTATATACATCGTAAAATATTTATAAAATGTGATTATTTACAAATTTTAAAAAA